TATGTACAAGATGTGAAGGGTTTACAATAGCCATCCATGGTTGCCCATTTAACTCTTTAGTCAAAGTATTATTTCAAAATTACTTTAGTTCGTTTTGTTTTGTTCTTCCATCCTTTACATGAGCTCACATGATGTGACTGTGTTCCAGGATAACTCGTGAACTATCATTTGAAAGTGGTCGCAAATGTCAATGGAATTCAGCTACGCGATGGATGATGATAACATCAGTTGGTTGCAACAGGTCATATGTCTTGCAACCAATCAAAGCAATAAGGAGTGAATTCCGTGGTGGTAGTAACGGCGGGATCAATAACAGGCTCTGTCGTCTCATGTTCTACTACGTCGTCGTGGCTCTGAAGAGTTCCTGCAAAATATATGGCACATCTCTGATCATGTTATCCCGTCCGATAGGTGAGGTGATTTAAATGGGTTTAACGTCGTGCTTGAGAATATTTCGCTCATAGGATGACGTGCATGCATGTGTATGTGCGGCTGCTTGTACTAGCCCAGACTGAAGCTGGTTTTATAGTGCTAGCCCGCTGGGATACCATGCCGCAGTGAAGCATGAATACCCCACTCAGACACATTATACTGACTCCGAGCCGACCAGTCCTTGTTGTACCCATTAATGCCGAGCGCCAGGCAGGGACCAACAAGTACCATATTTTAACGTCTTTTGGTATGACGCGGTCGGGGATCGAACCCGCGACCTTCCGCTCTCTGGGCGGACGCTCTAACCACTACACCACAGAGGTGGTCCTGTCCGAGAGCATCACAGTGATTCAGAAAGTGGCTGACGTTGGTCAAACTAAACCACGTCCCGGGTTAGCGGGTCAGAACCTCAACACTGAGAGACTAATGCAAAATCACCCTGTACTCATTCAAAACACCGTAGAGGCACGAGTAACTCTATTTATACTCAATCATTGTTTGATTATCGACTGCAATGTTTTGTAAGAATTAAACAAAATATACCGACCTGCCCGCACATGGTAAAAGCATGCTGACTGCACGCGCAGAACCGCAAGCAAAAGGACACGACCGTGCATTGTTATTCTGTGATTTCTTCCTGAAAGTGTACCAAACAGTTTCCGGTATCATGTGCATTCAACATGGTATATTAAAAACATAATCGGTGACAACAAATTAAAAATACATTACATGGTTGACAGAAGGCAATCTTTCTAAAACAAATAACAAGTCAGTCGGTTATGTTTCCGTATGACAGTGAGTGAGTGAGTCACATCGGCAACATCTAAGCCATATCGTGACGAGCCGTATGACAGTACAGATGGAGTTTCCTTTACGTATTATCAGAAGGAAGAGAGATTCATATTAACTACATCACCTTCGCGATCGTGCAGAATACGGAATAGCTGTCCAGGGTAAATAAATTTGCCAGATGTGTCCAGAAATAATTACTTTTAAAAGATGCTGCGTTTCATAAACGATATACATATGTTCAATGTAAGGAATAACTTCATAAAAAAATAATTGTTATATAAAAAGTGCTATTTCTATAGATATAACACGAAATTATGTTCCATATGAGGAAACTCGAAGTCAACTGAACCATCGAAAGAATGGATTTATGCGCAGTTCAAACCGAACGCAGTAAGTCAATCACTTGTTGGCAAAAATCATGACTACATGTTTCGAATTATAGTTCGATTTAACCAAATTTCGCTATTTTAAACGTTTACTTACCGATGTAAAAAGCTGAAAGTCATTTCTTCCTGTTTCACTGCAAGTGACGTTAATATAAGCCATATATATACCCAAATGTACCATCAACGACAATTACGATACAGACCACGCACTTTTTATAAAAAAAATAGGTCTATCTTTTATTTATTTATTGGCACAGCAAGTAGCATGTCAGACGTAATGTGCACGGGAATTGTCATTGTTAAAGGTATTTTAATTGTCGGATATATTCATTCAACAGCAATTCTGCATTTAAGTTGACATTGATAGTACTATTGAAAGTACAATGAAGGAAGGTATGAATGCCATTTATATGTACAACGCTGTATAAACATCGATATATCCGAACGGAAACTAGCTTTACATGCGATAACCTGCCTCACTCAAGTGCTTCCTTATTATTACACCCAAGACATAAATGAATCTAATTAAAGCTGAACTGACACGTAAGACACGTATGTGTACCCATCCTTGGGTACGCATTTCGAAGATCACTTAGCGAATGGCAAATGTCTTTGTTTGCATTGATGGATTGTCTTTATTTTTATGTAAACGAATACTAGTATATATATAAACGGCATGTAAGCTTCTTAAGCGTTTTCAGAGCTCAAATAGGAATAGAGAATAAGACCTGAATACTTGGTGATAGCTACATCTCACTTGAAAGACATTGATAGTAGATCCGATCTGTGGTAGTCATGAAAACCCGTTAACAAGTTTCGTCCATGTAATATTTCTGGTTCATACAATGTGTGTGAAACTAATGAATAGTCTTCCGCCTGTTTAAGGTGATAAATTGAACCGACATTTATAAATCGGGTGTTGTTGCATCTTGTTACAGAACCATGCAGAGACATGTATGTTGTCTTAACCATCTCTTGTTTCATTATGTATATTGTATAACGACTACGCATGTATATTATTGTATCCTAAGGTTGCATTATTGCCGTCATAGTACACGGCCCAGATTCGTGAGTGAGTGAGTAATTGAGTTTAGTTTTACGCCGCACTCAGCAATATTCCAGATATATGGCGGCGGTGTGTAAGTAATCGAGTCTGGACCAGACAATCCAGTGATCAACAGCATGAACATCGATCTGCGCAGTTGGGAATCGCTGACATGTGGCAACCAAGTCAGCGAGTCTGAACACCCGATCTCGTTAGTCGCCTCTTACGACAAGCATGGGTTACTGAAGGTCAATGTTCTAACCCTGACCTTCACGGGTTCCCAGATTCGTATTACAGATGTAAGATGTTTTGTTTGTTTGTTTGTTTAATACCTCACTCAGCAATATTTCAGCTATACACAAAGACAAAAGTATCGCAACAGCCATATTTGAATATATTGCTGATGTTTGATTCGATGTGTTCGCTATATTACCTGCGTAAACAAATGCGTTCTCACTGTTCTTTGCACAGCAAATACTGACACAAAAAGAAAATGTTAAAATGAAAGTTTTGGTAAAGATCATAATAATATGATTTTTTAAAGAAAGGTCAAAAATGGAGAATTTCGAGTCCAAACAACAATGGCTACAGCATGTCTCAGACAATCCACAACAATACGCGCAGTGTGTGGTCGAGCGTTATTATCCATATACACTGGCCCTTGTGTTTAGAGGATGGTTGTCCAAATGAGGCACTACAACACTGTACAGGATCCCTGTTTGGTATCGTTGGCCATTAAGGTTGCCTCTTACTGTTACCAGTGGCACCTTGCAGTCATATGACAAGCATCCCAAAATCATGTCCGAACCACCGCCAAATGGAACCTGTTCCATGATGTTCCTCTGGGCATATACCATGTTCTTACGTCGCCAAACACATGATCTACCATCTGTCATGAATAACAGAAAATGACTCTCATCAAATCAGTGAATTCTTCTCCATGACGCATTATTCAAGTGAGTACGTGTTCGACATCATGCCAATCGTGCTGTGTTGTGGCCACGTGACAACATATGTCTTCCGATAGGTCTTCTGGCACGATATCCAGCAGTTTTAATACGAATACAGACATGTCTAGGGAATATGCGGCAATGAGGTAACCACTCCCTTTTCAGAACAGTGCTTGTTGCAAATGGATCGTGTCGTACAAGTCTCGAAAGAGCTGCATCTTCTCTTTCTGACGTACAGCGTGGCCGACACAGACGGGTACGGTCCATGACGTCATAAGATGCTGATGCTTACTTACTCAACACTTGACTCGCCTTTGAGTGAATTTGGGTGTCGCCAGTAAGAAAGAATGTTTACGCTCATTATTCGTCTTAAACACATAGTATCATCACAATCGGGTAATAATCATATAAACACTAGGTGACCCAGTCCACCCAGCTGTGAATGGGTACCTCGTTAGGATGAGAAAGCCACAATAACTCGGTGCGCCTGGTGGCTGCAAGAGTTGTATACTCCCCAGGGAGTTGAGAGTGATAATACGATGTGCTGTTGAGATTGACATCCAATGATCGAGGGAAAAAATACCAGCGCCTTGAGCATGCACTAGTTACGTGGATATGTGCTCTATATAAATATCCTATAATAATGGTGATGGTATAGTATGTACCGTTAGTGTTGTGTGTTTGGTTTTTGTTTCACCCCAGCGATCAATGTTCAAACTATATGATGGCGGTTTGTAAATATTCGTGTCTGGATCACATAATCCAGAGACATCATGTGTATTGTTCTAGGCATTATGGACAGGATGGATGATTTGAAATAGGTCTGTAACTGCTATCTGCAGTGAACTAGTTCAACGTGGTTTATGTGTGTTATCAGGGCCGAATGAGTTGAAATTTGATTAGGAATGGCATCAAGAGTGTATAAGTTGAACCTGTCTCAGAAACGTTATCCGATGTGTATAATTGCGTTTCACAAACAAAATAAAGTTAGAGGTAGTGAAGTTTACCTCTTTGGTGGAACCTACAAAGAGAATGTGGTTGGGTTGGGTAGGATTCACAACTATGCAGAGTGAAAATATCCCACTGTGCTTCCCCTGTTTGTTACCTGAATTACTGATTTGACATAACCATCTATGTAAATTTGTTTTATGATTTTTAAGAAAGAAAACAGACAAAGAGGAAGGGATGCAGTATTTGCATTGTTGGCAAAAGAGTCTCGGCATATTTAATGAACAAATTGTGAGTCCCTACTTATCGGTAAAAGAACATTATAGATCTAAGTGTTTAATCTTGACCCCAACAAAAATCGACTCAAATAATGTTTTGCAAATTACAAGAGATCCACCATTCGATACCTTGACGAACTAGATCACAACAAGGGACACTAGGCCAGAATAATTGAAGCCATATATTTATTTTGCATCACATTTAGAAATATTAATAATTAGTGTTTCAAATGTAATGCACAAACGTCAAAATGGTAGCGAGTTTTACTTTCTTATATATTGTAGAAGATACATTTTGTTACATTTGTATAAATAAGATGTGAAGGTGATACTTTTACAATAGTCATCCAGGGTTGCCCATTTAACTGTACATTCAAACTATTATCTGAAAGTGCTTTATTTTGTAGTTCGCCTTTTGTTCTGCCAAATGAGTTCACTGTAATGCGATATCAATCATCGCGTGATATGGCTGTATCCCAGCATATGTATTGAACTATCCTTTGAAAGTGGTTGTAAAATGTCAATAGGTCATAATAACATCAATTGGTTCAAACAGATCGGTAATTATTGAATCAGATCAGGATCAGGAACGTGTTCCGTGGTGGTAGTGAGGAGATCAGTAACAGGCTCTGTAGTCGTAGTCTCATGTTCTTCAACGTGGTCGTGGCTTGGTAGAGTTCCTGCAACATATATAACCCATCTCTGGTCAAGTCATCCTGTCATTTGGCATCACAGTGATTCAGAAACTGGCTGACGTTGGTCAAACTAAAACAAGTGTTAGTGGTTCAGTACCTCAACACTGAGTGGCGACTATTCACCATGTATTCATACAAAACATCATGTACGCATGAGTCACACAACTCATGCTCGACCCGTTACACATATCCCAAAAGGTCACACCTTGTAGCAAACACATATTTCTGGAAATACACCGATATTGTCAAGTAGCTGAGTTTCAACTCAAAACGCAACACAGCTTTACAAAGTGTTTGATTATCGACTGCAATGTATTTGTATACATTAAGAAAATTATACCGACCTGCCACCAACTGGTAAAAGCATGCTGACTGCACGAGTAGAACCATGAGCAAAAGGCAGCGGCCGTGCATTGTTATTCTGTGGAATCTTTCTGAAATTGTCCAAAATAGTTTCCAGTGACATGTGCTTTCAAAATTAAAAACGCAATCGGTGACAACAAGAAATTAAAAACACATTACATGGTGGACAGGAGTCAATCCTTCAAGACAGAAGCGACAATTTCCTTTCAATCCATAAGAAATCTCTGCTCAAAGCAGAGTCGATTGTACTGTTGTGAGCATATCATGAGTATATATAATACAAAGTCAGTCGGTTTATGATAGTACGGGTGGAGTTTCCTTAAGGTATTATCAGAAGAAAGAGAGCTTCATAATTATTAACGTCAACTTCTACATACGGAATATCTGTCAAGTTTAAATATATTTGCAAGATGTATTCAGAAATAATTACTTTTAAAGGATGCAGCGTTTTATGAAAGATGGTACACATGTTGCATGTTGAGAATAACTTCATAAATATATTTAGTATAAAAATGTGATATTTTTGTAGATATAACATAAAAGTAAGCTCCATATGAGTAAAGCAGTTAACTCGAAGTCAACTAAACCATCGACAAAATTGATTTATGCGTAGTTCTAATCGAACGTTGCTAGTCGATCGCTCGTTGGCAAAGATCATAACTGGTGTTTCGAGTTATAGTTCGAGATCACAGAAGTTCGCTATATTGTAAATGTTTACTTACTGATATATAGGCGCTGGAAGTTACTTCTTTCTGTTTCACGACCAGTGAGATTAATAAAAGCCGCACATATATATACCTAAATGTTCCCACAACGACAATTACGATACGGACCACGCACCTTTTAACAGGTTAGGTCTATCTTTTATTTATTTCTTTGCACTAGCAAGTAGGAGGTTAGGCGTAATGCGCACCAGAATTGTCATTGTTAAGTGTATTTTAATAGTCTGTTATATCCAGTCAACAGCAATTGTACATCTAAGTTTTATTGATAGTGAAACGTAGGGAGCCATCATTAACATTTGTATGTTCGTTATCGTATGTACAATGTGTATAAAAATCGATGCATCGCCTTCGAAATGAAAAGCTGTAGCCATACATGGGATGGGCTGGCTCACTCAAGACGTGGACCCTAATTATGACACCCAATACATAAATGAATCTGATTAAAATTGAACAGATACACTCGTGTGTTTTCCCATTCTTGGGTGCGTATTTCCAAGATCACTTGACGATGTTTTGTGTTCGGACTGATGGATAGTGTTTATTTTCCTGTAAACGAAATATATATACTGTGTGTGTGTGTGTGTGTGTGTGTGTGTGTGTGTGTGTGTGTGTGTGTGTGTGTGTGTGTGTGTGTGTGTGTGTGTGTGTGTGTGTGTGTGTGTGTGTAAATAGATAGCAACATGCAGGTTTGTTTTGACAGTTCAAACTAGGAATCCAGAATAACAACAAACTGTTTAGTGATAGAAATAGTTCACATGTAAGACGTTGCAGATTCGATTTGTGGTAGTCATGGAAACCGTTAACGTGCTTCGTCCATGAGTATATATACGTAACAAACTTTGTTAAGCACCCCCTGACATATCTCACGATTGAATGAGCCCCAATCTTAACCCTTTGGAGCATGTCTGGGACATGATTGGTCGCCGTGTACAACAAAGGGACCTCCTGTACAGAAACTGGCCCAAATTGAAGGTGCTTTACACGAGGAATGGCGTAGACTGCCCCTTCAGAGGATCAGGAGGCTGACAGAGGGTATGTGGAGGAGGGTGCTGGCTGTTATACCGGAGGTTACACTCGGTATTGACTTTGATTCGTGTAAGACAAGCAAAAATGGCATTTTGAATGTTCACATTCACCAATAATTATATATTCAACATTAAACATGCCAGGGCCATACTTGTACAGACATAGTTTTGTATTGAAATCAGTGGGTGTGTTTTTTTCATCACAAAATCAACATGGATTCCAATCATTTTGTCTTTTTTTTCGTCCAAAAGGATCATCCGAGTCAGAAAAACGCTTGTTTTTCCATCGTGGTCACCACGAGAAATTTTGTATGCGTGTTGAAAACCTATCATTGCGAACATACAGGTGGTGCTTAATTAAGTTCTTTGTGTATTATTTTAAACATCTGGCTCAAGCAATGAAAGTCAAACTGGTGAGTAGCATTCCCAATGTGGAGCGTGATAAATTGAACCTATTTTTCCTTTTTCCTTTACATTACAACACTATATGTGTAATGGAGCTTAGTGATTAAAATCTGTGATATACCAGCTGATTCTGGTTCGATCATCATATGGTGGCACAGTGGAAATCGTGTTCGTTTAGTCCCTTGCCACTGTGTGTCTGGACTATTGCTGAAGCGGCGTACAATGTAACTTCAGCATTACGTTGGGGTGTGCATGCCTAACCTCGATATAGTACCCTTGCTGATCATTACGTCCAACCTTAGTCTTCCATGCCACCGTAATATGGATGAAATATTGATGACTACGTCAATTAGCAATATTCAAGCTCAAAATAATCGATTTGTCATTTCAAATGAAAACAGGTTGAAAATATACATAATTTTGTAGTTTTAACCGAAAAATACGAGTCACTTATCGTATACGTTGGGCAGTTGGTTCATATATAGTACCAAGATAACACTGTATGATATAATACTCAATTAGATAATATTCAAATTGAATGAATCAATTACATTTGCTTTGTATGCGATTGTAACCCGATCTCACGTGTTGCATGAATCAGTGGGAATTTGGGCATTTTATTATACATATATACAATATACTTCCCAATATAGTTTGGAACCCACTCGCCATAAGGGTAGAAGGTTTGGTTAAACAGATAGAGCATCATTGGGGATGGATGACTTGTTGACGTGGGAGCTGGGTTAACATCTGTTGACGGTCACTGAATAACAAACTATGTTGTACTAACCTGCTGGACCATGGTGTGGACTCTGGCCAGTATATGATGGCAACGATCCTGTAAGCCTGTCTTCTAGGTGAACAGACTTGCAGGGGGAACGATGACTCGTTTTCTCGGGGACGCGTGTTGACGATGATGAAATAGTGGTTGTCCAGCTGTTGCACGTCGTGCTGTTATCGACTAAGAGGATACGCGTCTCCTGACCTACATAGGACTCTAAAGATCTGTCCATGGTATTCTAATCATACAATTGCACACCGAAGAGTGACGGGTCTATAAATGATCTAAGTAATAAAGTATTTTCGAATATTGGTGCTACGTCGAGGAGACATGCGAGGAATAATAGAATAATAACTATTTGTTCATGTCTGATTTAGAAGCTTGCCCGCCGAATAGTGTGTGTGGGAATTGTGTGTACAGTGATATGGAAAGAAATGTTTGTGTTGCTGTAGTCCCATGTTGACAGAAAGCATAACATACACATAGTTGTCCAGAAGCAAGTGTACGTTTCTAGATGTGTAACTTTTCAAATGTATAGATGTACCACGAAATCATTCAACCAGTATAAATATCCGTTTTGAAAACGTCAGGATCAACATATTTACTCTTTATGTTAGCCTGTGATCGGTCAAAATTATTGTCACAGTCATCATGATTGGAGTCGCTGAAACAAACTGAGACTGTTATTTAAAATGTGTACACTTATCTAACGGTCAATGATCACCCTAAACACACAGAGACGATGCTCTAATTGCATAGTCTTACTTCTCTCTTTCTTGCACCGACAGTATTCCCTACGAATGTTGGGAACAAGGCCATAAGGTGATGTTGGTACTTTATGTCAACAACAATCATGTATGTTTCAATTATCATTTTTCAAATACGGATTCCGTGGCATGATAGATCTATATGACCAGTACTCGATTCGTATAGCAAGACTTATCGACATTTTCCTCGGTACTTCGAATGATCAAAGGGAGAGCACTTCTACTGTTTCTGTCTCCACTCGAGTAGCCGAATAAATTCATATAACTTATCATCGTTATGTACCAGTGATGAATATCCATTCACTATTCTTCGGAATTTTCTTGCATTCCACGTACTTTCCAAAGGCTCTTTCAACTATATTCATATTCTTTTAAATTGATCAGACGAAATTCTTCATTATATATTAATTTTCCTCAAAAGAAGGCAAGCAGCACTTTTTAAGAACTTCCAATGCCTCCTTCACTTTCCCCATCCACCCACCAGGCCTCGACGCGTCATAAAAATTCATCTTCATGTTGGAATATTGTGTTTTGCATCCAAAATAAGCAATTTGTTGATGTTTGATAGTAGGAATCCCATTGGGAATTTAATTTAAAATAGGTCTTCTGCAAGCTTAAAGTTTGTTGGCCGTAAAAGGATCGAGTGCAGACTCGGTGGAATGGTTGACTGCGTATCATCATACACGGATCCGTCATTCCTTGAAAATAGCTCACTGGATATTGTTCGGGACAGACATTATCTAAATGTTGCTGTCACGTATTGGGAATGTTGCAACTGACAGCGTCAAGCATAGACAAAAAAATATATCCTCGACTTGATTTTGTGTTGGGTATTTGATAACGCTTAGACAAGTGCATGTTGATATTCTACCCTGATAGTGATCAAATAATAATACTTATAACGCGCCTTTCCAGGCTTCATATCCTGCTCAAAGCTCACAAAGGATGCTCAAAGCGCACAATCTGATTATCATTACCCCGGATAACCCAAGCTACCTGTGAGGCGCTAGAAGGTTAATAGTCACATGACTTCTTCTACCGGGTACCCATTTTCTGCCTGGTTAACAGAGGCAATTTTGATCAGACTCACTTGCCTAAGGTGAGAGCACATGTATCACTTGTAGTTCGTTGTGGGGCAGGGGTGAAGTCCTAGAACCTGCCAGGAGTCAAGCTGCCAAATACGGTCACCCATCCAAGAGCTATCCGCGCCGAACGTTGCTTAACTTCAACTGATTTGATCAAATGGGAGCCCTTGCAATATGTGACCAAGCTTCACCAAGCGATCATATTGATACCACTGCTGTGCGCCCATAAGGCAATATAAGGTGTATACAAAACAATGGTCGAGTTTTAGTACCATCATACTTGACAGGTAATCGATGATCCTACTTCAACAGTCGACATATTTGGTCTAGACACGATGAATTACAGGCTGTTGGATGTACCTCTAAATTTGCTGACGTTGGCATGAAACCGCACACACTCACGTGTGCAACGGAAACTTTATGGAATTGTTTAACGCTGTAGAAAAGTCCCGAATTACCATTTAAATTAGTAATGGCAAATATCTGAAACACAGCAAACACATCGTACATTACGACATAATCTAAGTAGGAGATAAACATACTGCGTTGGAAAATCAGAGGTATATAACGAAATTATTATACCTCTGAATGACCTTAATTAACCAATCACAATCTAGTATTAACTGAAGTCATGTAGAATGTTAGAATGTGGATTATTACGTAGGTGAGTTAGGTTGTAGCAGTCATGCCAAGAATTTTGTTTCTAATACGTAAGAATTCACATTTCCAAGTACTAATCTCAACAGTAAACTACGGTTGCAACAAACCTTTCATGTACTCTGCTGCCACAAGACGTCACATGTACTTGGTACTTTCCAATCACGTATCATTTTACACAATTGTAAATTAAATAATACATAAATGCATGCCCTCCTCAACCGTATGGGGTTTAAAAAATGTCATGATAAACATATTTGTTTAACTCTTTTAAAAGAAGAACTGCGATCGGTCAGAATGACAGTCCTAGCCAGCACGATTCGAGCTGTTTAAACAATACCTGGATTGGTATCCTAAATATGTATGGTGCTGATCTGCCATATAATGATACTAAATACATAAAGAATACAAAGAAACGCTGCCTAAATTGACCTAGTTCGGGAGAACAAATGGACTACTGCTTTATTATAAACCGTACCCCTTTTAGGCATGTTTGGTACATAGACAAACAGGAAGCCTGTGAAGTTTAGTGAAGGCCAACCGTTCCGAAAATGTGCCCACAAGATAAAATACCTTTGCTGAGAAGGGGCATCGCCTTCAGATAATGCGGCAGTAAAGTTTTCTCCCCCACCCGTACTAACAATTTATCGTCTCGTGTTATATGAAAATTGTCATTTCAAGTGAAAACAGTTAATATAATGTTCAAAAACGTTTTAACCGAAAAGTACGTCTGACGTATTGGTAAATAAAACGCAGCACCAAACATGTGGTCTACAGCAATCCATGCCCCTTTCTCGCTGCCGTAAATGAAAGGGAGAAAGCAATGCCCCCTGTCTGCCACCATACATTGTAGATGTATGATCGTATTTCTAGGACTTACACACTGCGGGACGATATATTATACGACCGCATCGGTAAGTGGAAACCACGCTTATTGATTACATTCGGAACATGTGTTCGCAAAGGTGTTACCTGCATCAATACAGATCAATATCTGTAATGCTGTACGGTGAAGTTTTATGCGGTGGTTCGGGATATGCAGCTTACAACATTATGAATGGTCTGTGAGCATTCAAGAACAGGACTACTGTGATCGTTATAATCTGACTTGCAATATCAATATGTTATAATCATGTAATATATACATACACTCATTTCATATCAATGCATTTTCCATGATTAATGCATTTTACATGGAGAGGGGATGACATTAATTAAATATTTGTGACCGAATGGACTCTCCCCGTGGGTCCCAACATAGTGTGAAATCTTGAAAGAATGAATTAACGGATAGTTTAACAAAGTTTATTAAACATGCATGTTACCAGTAACTATGTCTTGTTTCATGATAGTTATTTTCTAACGCCTACGCATATAGATGTTTTTATCTTAAGGCTGTATTATTGCCTTCATAGTACAGATTCAGTCACATATATAAGATGTCTTGTTTGGTTACTATGTGGCGACGATCTGTACGTAATCGAGTCTGTACCAGTCAATCTAGTGATCAACAACATGAATATTGATCTACGCAACTGGGATACGATGACATGTGTCAACCAGTTCAGCGAACCTGACCACCCGATGCCGTTACTTGCCTCTTACAACAAGCTTAGGTTGCTGGAGATCAGTTCTAACCCGTATCTTCACGTTTAACACAGATGTAAGAAACACGTAACCAGGTTCTTCCTGCTTGGTATACATGAACTTTATTGATAATGTAGAGAAAGGAAGCAGCATGGCGCATCATAAGAAACAACTATTTCCAGTAGACGGTGACAAATGTTGCTGCCGCAGTCGCGGAATGTTGCGTTTACTTCATCTCCAGTTCATACATTTCTTCAGAGAGGTCGGGGTCACCTAGATGTGTCTTTGTTGGGAACGTTGTATCGTCGGTGACATCATCATCTTTAAATGAAAATGACAATGAACTAATATCAGAGAAGACAGCTGTTGACATACTGGTTATGAATATGATTAGTACCAATATACTAAAAAATAATAAAACTATATAATGCGTTCATATATATTACTAAGACTTTCGACAGTGTCTGGAAACTTGGCTTAGTGAAAGTTAGTGAAATATTGCTTACAGGAACATTGTAGAGATTGAAACAACATACGACCTACGTAGCTAGTCAAGGTTAACATTTATCTCCTTTGCTATTTTCAACAGTTACGATGTAAATTACCTATAACATTTTACTTTTTTTATACATGGCTGCAAAGGGTTGGATATTAAAAGTTTGGACGATGGGAACATATTTACATGTGGTGCACTCCATTCTTGCTGATACTATATGCTAATGGCGTTGTCTCATTACGAGAAGACCTTGCATCTCCTGAAGCTACTTTCTAAGTTTTATGTGTTATTGAAGTGCAAAATATTGCAAAAAAAACCCCAAACACCCAAACTCTCTGACATTGTAATGTAAGACATTACAAAAGTCGACGTATTTTTATCTTAGGCGACGAAGACATTTATGTAAAACATCATTGCGCCTAATTATGTTCCGTCAAAAGAAACAACATTTCAAAACGATAAAAACTTCAATTTGTCGAAAACCATTAAAAGCTAATTTATGTCTACTAACGAATCCACAAAATACTACCTATAGTCAACCTCTCGATTCTCGTTTAATATCTGTAGCATGAGGGTGCACGTATATGTTATAGATCAGAGGTATGGGGTTTTGTAAACATTGATCAGCAGCGCTTGCCTTCTGTAAAACGACAGATCAAGATTCGCTAGGCGTTCTCCTGATCCGACCGTTTATTGGGTGTCCGCAGATCTCAACACAGAGTAGCATTGTGCTTGTGTGTTGTTTGACTCCACACTAAGCATTATTACAGCTAAGGGACGACGGTTGTAAACACACCAGACCGAACCCGGCTATCCATTGGTTCTGGGGAACGTGCAATCTTAACCGAAATCCCCATAGTATCGTTATGCAGGGAGGTACCTTAAGGTGTAAAGCAGATTCTTGGGAGATTACGACAGATAGCTTCCAACACCAACGACAGAGTCAAGTTCAAGTGTAAGGCGGTCATAATGTGTGGCCAGTCTTATTGCCTGTTATAGTACATCGACGACTTGGGTTAGAATATGTACCCAACACAATATATATACCCAATTTATGTACCCAATTGCTTGTGGCAGTCGTCCTTTTGACTTCCGAGTGGTTTGTCTGTGCGTCTTTTAGTGTTGTGTGAACACTATTTTCTTTATCGATGAATCAATTCAGAGGCGTTGAATGAACGAGTGCCAAGATTACAGGTGAATTATTGACAAGCAAAGGACAGATTTCATAGCGAATATCAAATTGAGTCATCCGTTAATTGACAATTTCTTTGCGAGTCACAAAAAATGCATGATTTTATTCCCATGTTTTGGGGGCGGCCTGTAGTTATCAAATCCCAACCAATGATTGATCGTCGTCGACCTGTACCATGACAAAGAATAAGTATCGCGTCAATTATTTTAGCACCCGACCATAGCTTTGTTGGGTATTGTAAGGATGATGATTGAACATCTTTGTTGCAATTGTATTTTACCAGATTCAGTAGTGTCTTCAGTTGTGTCTTCAGTCGTGTCCTCGGTGTCGTCCTCAGTTGTGTCCTCCGTCGTATCCTCGGTGTGGTCCTCAGTTGTGTCCTCAGTAGTGTCCTCCGTTGTTTCAGTGTAGGCCAGGTGGAGGAACAATCCCAAGAAAAGGAGAAGTCTCAGTTTCATGGTGTCTTTTTCGTATTCGTGCTGTAAGGTTAAGTTACAAAGCATGGTAAAGAGATCAGGAATATGGCGTGATAATTCTGAAGTGCGATGTGTGCCCGTGTCTTGTATATATATGTGTATGTGTGTGTGTGATTGCATGAAATAATTCCGTTTCTTTTTGTGTCAGGCCACTGCCATATCATTCTAGAGTTAATCGTCCTCTTATTATGCTAATTCCGAGCCAACGGGTTCGCGTTCTCAACAACGCGGAGAACCAAGAGAGATACCGACAAGAACCATCATTTATCGCATTTTGGTACTGTCTGGAACGGCATCGAAGCAGCGACATTCTAATCTATTCAATATATCCAAGAGACAACTCAGGTGTATGTATTATGTTATGTACAAAATAATTATGTAAAGCTGATGATATCTGCAGATGTAAAATACATTTGATGAATTACAGGACATTCAATGCTCGCCATAGAATCAAGCTGATTAATCAGCTACACTTCTTTCCGTAGAGATCAGATTTACAAACTTCGCTTCCTCGTCAGATGTTCAATTTTTGCGTCAACTAATCATGTTATTACATTCACATTTATACTAGCTGCTTATGGTGTTTGGCCTGTGGTAACATTATCCACAACTGGCAAATTACATTATTTCTAGTCTCAAGAGAATTATTTACCATCATCTGAAGTCATTTCCTCATTTTGATCTCCTCTTTCCAAAATGTATTTCTTTATCATTGTTGAGATACAGAACAAGTAACCATAGTTTTCCTATTGTTCTAATCCCTCCTTTAGTTTGTAAAACTGTGAGAGACATATGTCATACTTACCGAGGTAGCTGACGCTGTCGACCCTGGTTTGTCTTTACTGACGGGTCTCCGTGTCCCGGCTTTTAAATAACACTAGTACACTTGCGTGGGAGGAGGGACCAGGATAGCAATGTTGGACATTTTAGAACCTCGACAACAGCGACCTTGCAGGACACACATTGTATAGAAATTGTAACATGTGGAGGATGAGTAAATTATGCATCGATATGGAAATACATAAACCAAATCAGAGTTCCACTGAAGCATAAGTTCTCATTTTACAGAATGTGTATGTAATACCATATCCAGTTCTTAAACACACCCGCATGCCACCTTATATTCACTTGGGTAGCAATTGTGCCAAGTGACAAGTCAAATAAGTGTCGATAGAAGCTAGAAATTGTTCTTTGCGATTATCATTGACAGACACTCAGTGATATTTACTTGACATCTTTTCGTGGATGCTGTCAATACATTCGATGGACCATGTTAGTTTAATGGCTTTATAAACGATCTACATGTACCGATATTGATCCTTTACTCTGTTCAGATAAATTGTGCGCCCTGACGTTAAATATTTTAATCGTTGTGGCTTTTTAATTAAACGTCTCGGATTTTAAATCGACTTAAATCGTAAATTAGAAATGGCAAAATGTATTGTGGATGATCGACACGAAACACTTTGATCTGACTGTGAATGGTCTGGATGCTAACGTAGTTATTTTTATGTTTCCGTCTGTGTCTGTATTGTGTTCAACAGAGAGATGAGACCATCGTGGATAATATCATATTGGTATTTGTCCTCGATGCAGATAAGTATAACCCTTGAAGATCCGGATATGGTCTTCCGCAACCCATGCTTGTCGTACGACACATGTCATTGTATCCCAATTACGTAGATCGATGATTATAGTGTTGATCACTGGGTTGTCTGGTGCTTACTCGAATATTTACAGACCGCCACCATATAGTTGGATTATTGCTGGGTGCCACGTAAAACAACAAACCAACAAAAACAAATGAGTACATTTCAAAATGTAACAAAATTCTAAAATGAGATTTCAACAATTTACCTCAATAAATGTTAGGAATTGATGCGATGTCACCCCCTGACATATCTCACGATTGAATGAGCCCCGATCTTAACCCTTTGGAGCATATCTGGGACATGAGTGGTCGTCGTATGCAACAAATGGATCCTCCTGTACTGAACCGGGCTAAATTGGAAGCTGCTTTACACGAGGAATGGCATAGTCAACCCCTTCAGAGGATCAGGAGGCTGATATGGGATATGAGGAGGAGAGTGCTGCCTGTTAGACAGTCACATGGAGGTTACACTGAGTCTCGGTATTGACCTTGAGTCGTGTAAGACACGCAAAATCACATTTTGAATGTTCACATGCACCAACAAATTCAACATGAAACATTCCAGGGCCTACTTGAACAGACACGGTTTTGTATGAAAATCAGTATTTTTTTTAAATGAGCAATTGTCATCATAAAATCAACATGGATTCCAATCATTTTGCCGTTTTTATGACTCAAAAGATCATACGGGTCAGAAAAAACTCATGACGTTTAAAGTACGTGTTGAAATCTTATCATAGCACAAATACAGGGGTGCTTAATGAAATTATTTGTATATACATGTATATGGGCATTGTAATATGAGGGTAATGTCATATGATAATTACTTAGCACAACTTTCCTTGTGAGAGCACTGTGATTGGGTCGGTGTCTTTAGTGTATCAGTATGATGAAACTATGGCGGTGACTGTACCCTAGCAAAAGGTAAATATTATACCCTGTGATAATCAAGGAAGGTTTTACGCGACTGCAGGTTTAAGTAGGTAGATTGAAAAGGGTCTTGTACGTTGCAGGTTATACTGCACTAAATCAGATTCCGTAGTTTAACAAACACTTTGAGTCGGGAGCCTTCAGTGCAGATTGAATCATTTGATAGCTGTGATTTGGTGATATTTTGTAAGACCTTTCTTTGTAACTGTACATCCATCCAGTAATTAAACTGACCATATTTGTCAATATTTAGTGTTGTCGTTTTTAACACAATAACTTATGCTGAATTTGGGCAGAGATATTTTCAAGTTGGTGACATTTGGTGCGGAACTGGGATTGTTGTGTTCAACTTCCTGTACTCGGAAAAGGAACTTTGTGTTTCTATTGTGGCTTAAAAGCGATACTGTGCATATATATATACATTTAGTGGTTTTAAACAAGACAATATCACGTTCCTATGGAAGTCTATGGGAAAAAACGCCGCCATAAAACTGAACTGACTTTCTCTATGGGAAAATATGTGGATTTGTGTAATCTGAAGACCTCCATTCTTTGCTACAACTACAGCCATTATTCACAAGAGTGGAAATGTGCCAACTACTGGGGCACTTTACGACGCCGACGCATGTGCTTGAAATTGAAAGAAAGTACACAAAGTCAATACTAACGACAAAGGTTGGATTGGATTGGATTGGAACACAGAGTTATCCGATATCCAATAATTGACATTACCATTTTAATGCAAATACATGAACGTATAAATCCACGGATGCTGCGATTGATTTTAATTCAAGTAGTTTACAACGGACACTTTAACTACTCCATGATGCTCGAGGCTTTATACATTATGTCGATGTCGATACATAAACAGTACCAGGATTTTGAAATTGAAATTGCAGTACAGTTGCAACACATATTGCGCACACTATAAATGCAGCTGGTTAAGAGTCCATTGGATAACATGTAAGGTTTTAGAAAGAGGAGGATGTTTATCCAGGTTAAATATTAGGTCACATTGTTTTGAAACAATGAACTATGACATAACCAATCCTTATTGTGCTGAGACAATGTAAGAACAGTAAATACTGTTGTAATAGATATATGTTAGATACATTTGGGAGCTGTATAATCAACGAAGAAAAAGTTACCTTGTTAATGTCAATTCTTTGTTGTTCAAAGAGGCGTTTTGTGCCCAGCTGTTTGATAAAGATACCGTTATCTGTTGCAATCAACCATAGTACGGTTATCAGTAATGAGTGAGTGAGTGCGTTTGGTTTACGCCGCCTTTAGCAATATTCCAGTAATATCACGGCAGGGGACACCAGAAATGGGCTTCTCACATTGTACCCATGTCGGGAATCGAACCCGGGTGTTCGGCGTGACGAGCGAACGCTTTAACCATAAGGCTACCCCACCACCCCTGTCAGTGAGGTATGTTAGAAGTAGGAATATTTTAAGTTCTCACGTCTTGTCGACTTGTTCGCGTTCACCAGTTGTTTAAGACGACGCAATTGGCTGTACTGAGTAGTCTCAAGAAGATATCAAGATCAAATGGTCATGAGTTAATCCAGAATTGTGCCCTATAGAGGCCCATGCTATCACAGCACCAATAGCATTTCGAGTCACAGTGGGTATCCTCCCGTTTTTAACTCCGTGACATAACAAGAGTAAGGTTTAACTTATCGGCGGGAACGTCCCTATGGGTATATACCTGACAATCACAGTGATGCTGCCACATTTGTACGCAGGGTTGGACTAAATTAACCTCTAGGCAGACATGTAATGTCAGGGCTAAATGTACTGATCAAACGCCAAATGTAACCACAGTCAGAAATCAGATTGATGTCTGATAATTGCAGTCGGGCCCGATCTTCACACTACTAATTACCTCTTCCATGAAAAGTATTAAAAAAAACAATTCACAAGTTTACGTATATATTTTACATCATCTTAAACCACATGAAACAGTTCTCTTTAGTTGTGTGTGAGTTTAGAAACGCTTTGGTGGCGATCGATAATACTTCATTTGTTACAAAATGTACGTAAAAAAGAGAGGAGACATCATCCTTTTTCAGAGAAAGCCATTATTGTTTAACATGAATGCTTTTTCAGTACTCGCTTTGTCTTGTGATGGAGATTTTTTTTCAAAAGTGGGTTGTCCGTAATATCGGTTCCATTGGGATCTGTTTCAAAGATGGCATTATCACCTTGAAATAATTCAGGTCAAATTTATACTTTTGAAAATATGTTTTATAATTTGGTATTGACAAAGACATATCTAAAGTTGAGAGCACATGAAAATGTTCTGTCAAAAGATAATACAATAAACACAAATGTCTTAAATCCATTTGACTTTAGGAGACACGAAGGTAGGGTTAGGAACCAATGTTGCCTAGCCATTAGTTCTTGATGTGGAGACGATGTCATCGTTAGTGTTCGCGGCAGCAACAGTTGGGGGCTGTTCGTTCAAACTGCACACCACCTCTGTAGTTGACTCACACATACACTGGAAGTTGAGCACCATGTACCACTTGTTAAGGTCGAAGCAGTTCTGTTCGTCCAGTATCCCACACTGCTCTGAAAAGTCGTAAATACTGGTCTGTACATTGACAGTAGCATTCAGCTAGTCAGTCTGAAAATTACAGTGCTCAGGGCCAGAACATATTTTATAAGCCAGAACACTAGTATTGACCTTTATCCACCCACAAAAAGAAAAAATAAACACATGTATTGAAGACATGATGTGACTGACTACTGACCCGTTTCCTCTAAACACTTCATGTTTGGCATACCCGTGAAGATCCGGGTTAGAATTGATCGTCAGTAACCATGCTTGTCGTAAGAGGCGACTAGTGGGATCGGGTGGTCAGGCTCGCAGACTTGGTTGACGCATGTCATCGTATCTTAATTGTGTAGATCGGTGCTCATAATTTTGATCATTAGATTGTCTGGTCTAGACTCGAATATTTACAGAACGCCGTCATATGGCTGGAATCTTGCTGAGAGCGGCATTAAACAGCAGCCAACCAACCAACTATCATGTCTGGCACCTATGACACGCCGCCTTTTAGCATGGCAACAAAGTGGACCTCTATACTGAAGAAAGACATTTTTGTGAAGTAACTGTGGTGCAAAGTACACCATTTATCATGACAGACAGTTTCTTATGTAAAGCACTTAGCTTTTTTATTGCATTAGTACAAGAATACAGACATACTAATGAAAGGTAATGAATGCTTTTAAGTCACTTATGTCATGGAA